TGGACGTACAAATGACCGCTTCTGTGGGGATTGAACTATAATGTGGGGAGGCATCACTGTGAGTGGACGTACAAATGCTACTATGATTTCGAGAGACATATTTACAATTCAAAGAATGTGGCACTGGATTCACTTTTACCACTTGTCAAGGGTGTAGTTAAGCCAGGTTTTCCTGATACAAGTTATTCCTGGTGTCATGCTACAAAGATTGTGATGGACTACATACTGAACAAGAAACCACAGAGTTCATGAATTTTGCAATTAGATTTCGCCATAAGACGATAGAAAATTTGTTGTTGCGTGTATTGTTTGAGGAATTTGGCACAATTCCGCATGATGTTTGTCAAATGATTGGAAGAATGTCTCACAGACAAAGGAACACTGTTAGTATTGAGGGGGGAGTCTACTCGCTAATGAGTGGATCTCTTTTTTTTTTTTTCCAAATACGACTTTTTCAGACAGATTCAGGCATTCCTAACTCTGGCCATTTTGTAACTAACCATATATTAATATCGAAATTTATCCATTATTCAGTGAAAAAAAAATCGTTTCTCTAATTTAAGCTTTGTTATTCATTTTGTCGCAAAACTACTTAAAACTATATACAACCTTGCTATTACACATCATCCTTATTATGAAATATATTTGTTCATCAAATTTCATAAACTCAAAAACTACATATGATCATGGAAGCATCCTAGAAGTAATGATCGTAGCAAACATGCATCTGAGTTCCATATTTCAATCATAATGTTCATATTGTGAGCCCAAAAAAAATGTCGGGAGAAAAGAAAAAGAGAAGAAACTGTTAGAAAAAAAAATCACCTTCATCCCTATCAAGGGAAAAACTGTTCGTTAAAAATATAATTTAAGATCTACTTAACAGTTTGTACTCGCCTGGAAGATACGAGACAGAAAAAATCACATGAGAGCTAACTGTTCGTTTAAAAACATGTAATGAAATAATATCAAGACCAACTTAAACACTCATTTATAATTCTTTGAGAGAGAGACTCGTTTCACAATATTGTCAGAGAAATTGTTAGGAAATCAGACGCCTGGAACAAAGTATAATTAGTCTACTTACAGTCTCTCTATTTAACCTCACAGTAATGTATCTAGAAAGTCTTGGTGTATAGAGTGCATGAAAACGTGTAGTAAATCAAAGAAACGTCCTTCATTTAAAACGTCTCCTTATTACAGGCATGTCTCATAATTTAATCAAGAATTTTCATGGTCAAGAAACTCTCAGTCGCCTCGAAATTAGTTTCATAAAATCTAATATGATATTCGCAAGCTATTCTGCTTTACTTAGCACACGAGAACAATACTAAGCTAAATTTAACTAACTAAAAAGTGAACTTACTTTCTCACTTTTATATGATCGCTATCACAGCAAAGCTTAAAATACTTATGGTTTTTATTTCTTCATCTAAACAGGATCTCTCTTGACAATCAAATATCTTTTATGTTGTATCGTGTTCTGCTTTACTGTTGATGGACGTGAATCTGACTTGTGTATAAATTTCGTTTTAATGCTTTAAATAAACAGTCAGTAAGAAATGTTGATGGATGAAGCCACGCTAATTATTTCATATCACATAATGGTTTATTTTTCAGCCTGAACATCGAACTATTGCCTACATCAGCGATCCTGGAGAGAACAAGGTAAATTATAGTTAGTGATAATTTCCGTATAATAAATCTTCATGACTTTTTCTTAAAATAGCTTCTTTGTTTTGATTGGATAAGGCAATCAATTATGAAGAATACTCTCTGAAACATTTCATTATACGACTTTCTAGTGAAGACATCAATTTAAAAATTTTACAAAATGTTTTAAATTCCTTATCAAAAAAATATGTAAATGAAATGCGATAAGTGCTGAATTCAAGAAATCCGAAAGGAAGCTATCAAATTAAATATTTGGATAACACGTGTTTAAATCAGTGAAAATATATTTCGTTTTCTGTTAATATGTTAGTGGCACTTGACTGAATTACTACGCCAATTTAATTCTCATTGACTGAGCTAAAACTAGCCAACTTCCTGACAGTCGAACTAAAAAGCTAGAAAAACTAATACTTTTGAAAATTATAGTAATTGATAAGTAACGCTTTCTTCATCTCACGCATTTGTTTTTATCTTTAGTTCCACAAATGCAGTAAACAAAAAACAAAACTATATACTTGGTGTAATACGAAAAGAGACAATTTTAGGGTTAATATCAGTTGGACGACTTTCCTCTACGCTTTAAGATTTTCCTTTTATCTTATGTTACAAGAGAAGGCTATAACTTAGGTAATCTTTGATAGGTTGTAGGTTTCTACAACAGGCAGTTGCTGTCCATTTGAAACTTAGATTCATCTGGTATAACTTACTTTTTCTTTTGTCATGTTGCTCTACTTAGAACGGACTGCTATATTACTATGCCATTTATACATTGGAAAACCAATCATAACTATTTCGTATTATTTACCAATACATCATCCTTACCATTCAAATCTAGAACTCGTCAAAGCAGGGTTGCCAGATTGGTGGTAAACTGTCCACTTTAAGGAGAATTGAATCCATGGAAGAAGTGTTGCATGGAGGAAACGAGAGGGAGAGGAAATCAAATTGAGGGTTAATGCTAAAAATGGGAGGGGAGAGATTTCATTTCCTCTCTAGTAATCTCCTTTGCAATTCCCCATAATGTTTTCATGACCTTTTAGAATATTAAGCCTGCCTTCTAACAGTAACAGATTACATGCCAATTGCCGTTAAATCCTGCCTTAACCTTTACCTCTCCACCTTCCAGAAGTAACATAACTATAGTGTAATGAATACAGTAGATAATACGTAATATGCAGATGTTGTATGGTTCTAAGTCCACAAAAGAAAATCATTAAAACAAATCAACAAACATATGCTTGCTGAATCATCTATTCATGAATTATTCGTAGTTTAGTAACTCCTCAAAAATAAAGTTTATTCGATCTAAAAGTGGGGCTTTAATCAACGTTAGCTATGCTTTCTCAAGGTTTTTTAGCCCTCTAGGTGCAGTCACATTAACTACAATCACTTCAAGTTTGTAGTCTGTACCTAGAATATTGGTGTAGACTAAAACTTGTACAGGAGTTCCAATCCATATGTAGAGACATACAGCAGACTAAGAAAGATTAGTGAAACTTAAGAAACAAGACCTGGAAACAAACAACGGATGATTTATTCTGCCCAAGGTACATGAGGACAGAGATGCTGCGAGAGACGAAAGATTCTCTTATGTGTCTTTACGAGTATTAGCTATGCTGACACTACCCATATCTAATATTACAGAAGAAAGAACATTCATCACTGTCACTAATATGGAGACAAAACTGAGAAGTTGACTTCAAAGTAAAACTCTAACAAGTTTTCTGGATGGTAAATATTGCCTACAGTGAAAAGGAAAATATGCAGGAGCTTTCAGCCGACTACGCCTATTCTCCAGAAGTTCTCAAGTTTATTTTCCATTCCAAGCAATAATGAAATTGAAGTATAATGAGTAAATTTTGAAGACATTTTATTTTTAAATAATAGTTTTTTTATATGATGGATAAATTATTTTCGGGTTGTTATAGTACATGTTGGAGTTATTTTCTTCAGGAGAAAATTATTCAGTGCAATTATTATCAAGTATAGTTAGTATTATCAATAATAATAATAATAAATATAATCGTATTATTATTATTGCTTTGTTGTTGGTGTTATTGTTTAAAGTAATATATCTGACTACATGTTTATCTGTATCTTATTTTCAGAAGAGCCGACGGTGTTCGTTTCGTTTGCATTTTTCTAGTCGAAATCACTAAGTATTTATTTCTATATTCTAGTGCCTGGCATGGCCAGGTGGATAAGACGCTCAACTCACAATCTGAGGGTCGCGGGTTCGAATCCGCATACCACCAAACATGCTCGCCCTTTCAGCCGTGGGGGCGTTATAATGTGACGGTCAGTCCCACTACTCGTTGGT